TATTTTCCATCCATTCCTCTTTTCCAAACCTTTTCTGCATTCTGAATTTTGTCTTTGAGTAAATGCTGCCCTTTTGGTTTGGAATGGTTGACTGTTCTAAGGAGTGCTTACCTTGCTAGTGTTGTTGTTCACCTTCTAGAACTGTCTGTTGTTTGGCTGAAAATTGAGCCATGGGGGTGGGGTGAGTTAGTTCCAGGCCTGGAAGGTGTTTAAAGGTTATGGTCTCCGGAGTGCACCAGTCTCAATCTGACCATTAAACCTTGTCTTTGTTACGATTTTGAGGTTTTTTTCCCCATATTTTCCTCTCATTCTATCTAGGACCTTCTAATGTAATACCCTTCAGAGTTGTCAGTAGTGGTATCATCTAGTTCTTCTGGTAGTTGAGGCTGAGGTTCACCTGAGCCATTAGTCCAATGGGCTCATTGTTTCCTTGTGTCTTCAATTGTTTCCACTCTTCTTTCTTCCAGACAGGGAGAGACCAATAGTTCCACCTTAGATAGTTAAATCACAAGCTTTTAAGAGCCCGGTTGCTACTCATCAAAGTAAGATGCAGCACTATGTTATGCCATTTGACCTTGGTATTCTCCAACACTATGGTCCTGAGCCCCCAGGCCCAGTAATTCGTTGCCTCAAGGTGTTTGGTTATGGCTAAGACGTTTTTCACTATTTTACCCCCTGTATGCTCTACTATGTTCATGGCTATATTTGCAGCATAGGTAGAAATCTGTAGAAATATCCTCTGTCAAATCTATGCCTATTCATGGGTGAAGTCCCATTATCCTTTTCAGAGCAGTTCAGCTTATGTGTCTATCTATGTACCTATGCTGAGATTATTATTATTACAGAATTGTGCAGCTAATACTATTTACCTTTGTTGCCTTATACTTGTACTTCTCTCAGTGTCTTCCTTTGCCTTGGTCATTGTTTGCTTTCCTCCTCCTTACATATAGTGCCGGGCCTTAACTCAGTTTAATTGTCTACCCTCTAGTTAGTGATTTACCCTTCCCCTCCAATCCCTGATAAACATCAAAGAATGTTTCTTTTTGTGGGAAAACCTTTCCTTGACTTTTTATAATAATGGTTTCATACAATATTTATCCTTTTGTGGCTGACTATTGTGGCGTTTATAGGATTAGCACTGGACTATTAACCGCAAGGTTGGTGGTTCAAAACCACCAGCTGCTCCTCGGTGCTTTGAATCAGAAGCAACTAGACAGCACTTAATAGCAACAAGGGCACAGTGCTAAGCATTTTCCAGACATAATCTCTAGTAATCATTACCATTCTTATTCCCAATTTAAAGATGTAGAAACTGATTTAATGCAATCCAGTAGTGATCCACAATCCCTTTTATGAAAATTTGGGGTCAAATATTTTGGACTTCATTACTTTTTTTCTATATGATGCATATGTCATAATTATGTAAGATCAAAGCACCACATAATAAAATACATCAATATTTATATGAGGAAATGTATAAACAGTCTCAGTAAGCGGGATGAAAATTATTGATAGCCTCACATCAGTTAGGAACTTGGTGCAAACTGAAGTATAAAAAGAGGTTTTGGTTTTTAGAACTTTGGAGATTTTATAATTGTGGATGAGGGTCTGAGAAACTGCCATGTGCTCAGAACTTCCCGGTTTTGTACATAGGAGACTCAAATCCCCACTTTGATCCAAAGCTTGTGTCTTATTAGGACACAAGCTAATACAGTTCTCTGGGGACAAAGGCAGCATCATGGAGAGGAGGCCATGGCCTCAGTTCTAGAACTGTTTGCTCCCAAACCCAGGACTCATCTAGTACTCACTGCCAGTGCTATCGGCACAGACTTCAGTTGGCTTTTTTCAGCAGTAGGGTTGCATTGAATGCAGCCATCCATTCACATTCTTTAATGTTACCTGAGCCGCATGTGCCAACTCATGTGGTACTTATAAGGAAAATGCCCAAGACTTCAGTTCACCTGTGACTCAGCAGGTTCATTTTCTCAGGCGCTCAAATCCAGTTATAAAAGTTCCAATTGAAAGGTGGAGGTTGGGCTTCAACTTTAAGCTTAGTTTTGGCTTTTCTTTTTTTCCCTCCAAACAGAATTAGCCTACTTAGACAGTCTCCATTTCACACACACGTCAAAATTAACATGTGCCAGATGGAACTCATGATTCTTATCCCCATGTCTGTCCCTCCCCTGACCTATGTGACCTATCTCAGGAAATGCTACCTGTCCACCTGGCTGCTCAAGCAAAAATCTTGCCTAATGGCTCTTTTTCATCTTGATGTCTAAATTACCCTCCAATCCCTATGAATTCTTTGTACAAAGAATATTTTTTAGAACTACCCCTCTGCCAGCTTGCCTTTTCATGTCTGCTCTTGTCCTTCTTGTTTGCATTTTCCATGCCCCAGCAGCAGAGGTCTCTCTGAGTGGCATTGGATCCAGCCACTCTCAGCTCGGGACACTTTTGTCCCAACCTCCTATCTCCCTTTCCACACACTTCAAGGCTCTGAGCCTGCCCACTACCCCACCACCTCCTGTGTTATTAGGCTTAGCAACTCTGAGATTAGAGAAGCTTAGTATCTTACTAGTGTTTGTTTTAGTTTTAAACAGAAAAGGCATTTTCTGCTGTCATTTGCTATGTATGCTGTTCATGAAACATTCTCATCCCTTGCCACGTCTTTTCTTGCTCTTAATTTGTCTTGTTTCCATTCCTTAGGACTCAGCTTTAGTTACCTCCTCAGAGAGACCTTTTCTGACCATCAGAATGAAAAAAAGTACTTCCCTCTCTGATGCTCTCAACATACAAAGGAGCTTCAAAAAGCTTGTGGATAAAACGCCATGATCTTATCATTCCATTTTCCCATGAACTTTTTGAAGCCTTCTCATACAACTCCCTTCCCCTTTAAACACAGTTTTTTTGTAGAGGAAGAGGGGAACTGGGAAAGCTGGAAAGTTAGTGAGGCCTGCATTATAAAAGGTCAGGGGAGGGGACCTGCAGTTAATTTTATCAAGGGCAGCAGAATGATGGAATGGAGTGGCTCTTTGCAGACATACATAGAGAGCCAGGGTGATTTGACTTGGAGGTGTCTGGAGTCCATGGAAACCATTTATATCTTGAGGTGTAAAGATGTAACCTCCTAGCAAACACTCCCTGACTCTACTATTCTTTATCCATGGCAGACATCATAATCAACTGGGATACTTTCAATGGTAGACATTGTAATCAATTCAAATACTTTCTCTCTGAGTCTTGAATAACAAGAGAATCCTTCCCAAGACAGAAAACCCTTCCAATTACAGTGAAATATATGAGAACCAGGACTTGTCAGGGCTGCCTTGTTTTTCTGGGTCTTGAAAGCTTTCCACTGTTGACAGGGTACAATCTTACCACTGTTCTATTGCTCTCTATTGGTGCTGTTGTTAAGTGCTGTTGAGCTGGTTCCTAATCATAGTGATTCTGCATATGGCTTCCAAGGAGCAGCTGGTGGGTTTGAACTGCTGACCTTGTGGTTCACAGTCCAGTGCTGATCCTACAGCACCACATCAGGAGCCTTCGCTCTCTATTGTTGTTAAGTGACATCAAGTCTATTCCGACCATAGCGACCCTGTATAGGGGTCTACAAGGAGTAGCTGGTGAGCTTGAACCACCAACCTTACAGTTCAAACGGCTTTACAGTCTGGCGCATTCACCCACAGCGCCACACCAGGACCCCATCGCTCTCTATTAGTGGGAGATTATTTTAATTTTCCTTCTCTGACAGGTTTCAGCCTTACACAGGTTCCAGTTTTCATTGTAGTTGAATTGGCCTACTTTGCCATTATTACTATTGTAGTTCAGTGCCATCAGGTCAGTTCCAACTCTTATCAACACTGTGTAGGGTTTCCAGTGAAAGGCTGGTGAGGTTGAACCACTGACCTTGCTGTTAGCAGACCAGGCCTAAAGCCCCTCACCAGGACTCCACTATTATTGCTGTTGTTAAGTGCCGTAGAGTCGTCTTCTGACCCATAGTGACCCTGTATAGGGTTTCCAATGAGCAACTGGTGAGCTTGAACCACTGGCTTTGCTGTTCAAGTGGATTTTGCAATCTAGAGCCTTAACCAACAATGCCACACCAGGACTCCAGACTCTACTATAGGCTTGCACAATTTAAAGTAGAACACACTCTTGAGTTCTAGTCATATATCAATAATTTTCTCTTTTTAGAGACTATATTGGTAGAGGCATTTCTTTTTTTAAAAAGTTTTTATTGTGAATTGAGTGATAGTTTACATGGGAGAACATCGGTTTTACACTTATCGTTCCATTACAATGATTACAATCCCCTTCATGCATCATTATTCAAAGTATTTGTTTCTATTCCCTCTGGGGTTTTTTTTGGGGGGTGGGGGCGTGGGGGAATGTACACAAAAACACTCAGGAATATATAATCATTTAAACAAACAAATGACACATTATGCAAGTCTGCCTTCTGGCCTCCAGCACACAGCCTTTCTCCTTCCATGAGTCTAGAGTCCTCAGCTGTTCTTTCTCTCCATGTCATCATCTCTGCCTCCATCTCTGGTGTTACTGCTTCTCTGGATAAAGTCTCACAATCCACTCATGCTCTTAGCCCTTGATGGTCCTAGGGTCCTCTGTTCCTGGAATGTAAGATTAACTACTCCCCCTTTATATTATAAAACTTCTACCTTTACAGTTGTGACAGTTACAATTAGTCATGGTAACAACTACTCACTATTGAATCATAAAAATCATATCCCCATCTCCTTTCACCAGACCCATCTAGACAACATGGAAACTGTTCAGTGTGTGTGGGGGGGGGCGGGGGGGGGTAAGGTATCTACCTTTTCCCGCACACTCTGAAACTAAACTCCCTCTTAAAAACTTGTAAGCAAGTCACTTCGTGCCTTTATAGGGTAGAAGCATTATTTTTAAAATTGTATCTCACTCTGGATTTAATTTATTTAATCTCTTTTTGTTCTCCCCTCTTCTTTTTTTTCTAGGAGAAAATAATGAATGTCAAAGGAAAAGTAATTCTGTCAATGTTGGTTGCCTCAACTGTAATTGTTGTGTTCTGGGAATATATCAACAGGTAATTATGAAATGATGTTGATTAAAGTAATGGCTCTAATATTCTAGTATCGGCTGAATCACCATGTGGAATTAAAATTAAGAAATTATAAAAAAGGGATTCCTGGTGTTGTGCTGCAGGTTAATGCGCTGGACTGCAAGGTCCATTTGAACCGCAAAGTTGGCAGTTCAAACTCACCAGTCACTTCTCAGAAACCCTATACAGGGTCACTGTGAGTCGGAACCAATTCAACAGCATTAACAACAACAACCCCTGCTATATCCCTGGGACCTGATTATCTTTAAAATCACTAGGTCTTGCAGTAACTTCTGGCTAAATAATCACATCTTCCTTCCTGTTATGTTGCCAGTATCTCTGGTACTGCCATAGAGCAACATCACAGAGTTTGTTAAAATAAAAGCAACAGAAGTGTATTGAGGGACAGAGACAGTCTGGACTGAGGCAACATCCAAATTTTGCAGAGTGAAAATGGCTGTTCTGCTGGGAAACGAGGAAAAGAGCATTTTTGTACAGTTGGAGCAGGACCTAAAAGTGACAAAATGATCATGAGAGACAACCAGGGAGCGAAAGGCAGGCTATGTGAAAGGGGGGAGTTAGCAAAGCGATTATATGACTGGCTAAGTGTTCATGATTGTAAGTGTACGTGCTGTTCAGTTTATAACAAGATAGTCACAGGACAACGGCAGGACAGGTTTTCCAGAAAATCTGCTATAAAAATTGTTTTCTCAACCTTGTCTGCTTCTGGTATCCATTGTAAAGATTTATTGATAAATGATAAGCTTTAAGTTGTCACATCTTGAATCTGTTAGACCATGGAGGAAAGATGCTTTGGGGAATAGATTGTGATATATTGCACCTGCCAGACCTCAGAGAAAAAGAATGTCTCCTTTAGGGGATATGGTTAGGTCAGCATCCAGGCTAGAGGGACTGCTGTGAGAAATGGCAGGTTGCAAAGCTCAGCATGGAGTCTAGATTCATGTCAAGAGTTTAAAATGCAGTTATTGCTTTACTTTCAGGCTGCTCTAGTTACACACACCAAGTGCCTCTGATGTTTAAGCTCTCATACAATTCCTGTGCAGTTTAGGGAGGGGTTCAGGAAAGTCAAATGAAGCCCAAAATTTAATTTTAAATTATTGGCATGATCAGATATGGAAATTGCCTTGAGAAAATTCAGAAATTCCAGGAAAAATCCACCCTAACTTTTGCAATCCTAAAATACTTGTGGAGTTTAAAGGAGCAAATGAAATTGTTGACTTTTGTTGCAAATTGCACTTTGGATTGCTGGTGATTCATTTGTGCCTAAGATCAGCACTGGATTGTGAATCATAAGGTCAGCAGTTCAAACCTGCCAGCTGCTCCTTGGAAACCCTATACAGGGTCTCTATGAGTCAGAACTGACTCAACAACACTTAACAACAACAAAGTTATTGAGTGGATTTTTTGTTTTGCTATTTGATTTTGTTTTTGAAACTCTGGAAAGCAAAATTAATGAAACACTTCTGAAATTTCAAACTCATTAGTGGATTCACCCAAATGCATGAGATGCTTCCATGCTTTTTGAAACCACAAAGCCTTAGCAATTCCAGACAAAGAGGGTTCTGCAAGAAAAACGCCTGCACAAGCAGCTCTAGAAGTGCATACCTTGGACTAAGAGGCACAAAGAAGGAAGCTCAGCCTTGAAGTTCAAAAAGTCCTCTGTTTAACTATGGGCAGGGACAGCTGACTTGGCACCGTTAATATTTACACAGTGCTGTAGAGCATGAAATCTGAAGACTTTTGCCTGTGAATGACTCCAGCCAGGCAGAGCTTAATCCCATCTGTGCCTAGGTTTAAATGCTCAGGGGCCAATTTTTCTTGAGTGTACCTCATGCACCTCTGACAGCCAGACTGCCAGAGTTAAAAGCAGAATATATTTCAAAGTGGGTTTTGGGTCACTTCCCCCAACCAACCCTCCCAGGAACATTCCTGGGCACATCCTTTAATGCTTACCTACTTGTGATGTCATACCCCAAGAGCCTCAGAGACTAAGCTTTCCTATCTGCAACAGTCCCCTCCCTGATTTCCATAGGTCTGGCCTTCCTAAGTGATGCATAACGGTTCCTAGTAGTCATGGTTATGGGAGGAGATTCCTTTGTTCCCTGTGCCTTATAAAAGGTCACCATGTGGAGGTTGGAGTCCTGGTGTGGTGCTGTGGGTTAATGTGCCAGACTGCAAAGCTGTTTGAATTGCAAGGTTGGCGGTTCAAGCTCACCAGCTGCTCCTTGGAAACCCTATACAGGGTCATTATGGGTCGGAATCAACTCGATGGCACTTCACAACAATAACAACATATGGAGGTGGAACTTTGGAAACTCATTATGATATCTATGATTTCCCCCACCTGGGTAATCTATGTTTTTCTTTGTCTTGTGTTTACTCCTATTTAAGGTTTAATAAAGAATCTCTATAACATCCCTGCAGGTCAATGCACTAGACTGCAAAGTCAGTTTGGAACGCAAGATCGGTGGTTCAAACTCACCAGCCACTCCGTGGAAATCCTATACAGGGTTGCAGTGAGTCAGAACTGACTCGACGGCACTCAACAACAACAACAACATAATATTTATATACTTAAAGATGGAGTCTCTTATCTCCACTATAACAACAGTGAAGTGTTTTAATGGCCCCCAACTTCACGTTGGTGATCTGGTTTTGCATTTGAACATGTCTTTCAAGTCATAAATTCTAAGTTCCTATGAGCCAATAGGACCACTTGACTACTTAAAAAAGAACTGCCCCATTAGACTGTCCAATAGGAGGAGGAATCCCAGAATACTGGAGCTATGAGCTCTAGGCTGTTAATATTCTGTGATTTTGTTCCATTCCAAACAATTCATTGTAAGAAAAACTTGACAAGCTAGAATATGACAAAGTTGATGATGGACCTGAAACACAAAGTTATTGGAATTGAGGAAACTGAGGATACTTAAAGGACCCCTTGGTGGCATAGTTAGTTAAGTTTTGGTCTGCTAACTGAAAGGTCAGATGTTCGAACCCACTAGCCACTCCGGAGGAGAATGATGAGGCCCTCTGCTTCTGTAAAGATTTATAGCCTCAGAAACAGTGTGGAGTAGTTTTACTCTGTTCTGTATGGTGGCTCTGAAGTGGAGTCTACTCCATGACAGTGAATTTCAGTGGGTAGGGAAATACTTAAGGAGCTCTGCTAACATAGTGGATTACAAGCTCAGCTGCTAACTCCAAGGTCAGCAGTTTGAATCTACCAGCCACTCCTCGTGAGAAAGATACTCTGTTCCTCAATTTCCCTATCTTTAAATAGGGACAATAGTGCGAACCTCATAGATTTGATCCACCAGTCTTCTGTCATTTTGTTGTGCTGTAGTGGCTTGTGTGTCGCTGTGATGCTGGAAGCTATGCCACTGATATTTTAAATACTAGCAGGGTCATCCAAGGTGAACAGATTTCAGAAGAGATGCTAGACTAACACAAACAAGGAAGAATGTGTAGCCACTGAAAACCTTAAGAATAGCTGCAGAACATAGTCAGATATAGTGCCATAAAATGAAGCCATTATGGAAACAGTGTCAGATACACGGCCAAAAAATTAGTCCCTCAGATTGGAAGGCATTCAAAATACAACTGGGGAAATATGTTCAATATAGAATTAACCATGATGACATTAATGGAGAAAAACTTTTGGGATCTTCATTTTATGATGGAACCCAACTCAAAATGAGAGAAGCAGCTCCAAAGATCTATTAGAACATGGAATGTACAAAGTATGAAAATAGGAAAATTGAAAGCTGTCAATAAATGAAATGAAACCCATAAACATCAATATCCTAGGCATTAGTGAGCTGAAATTGACTGGCATTAGCCACTGTGAATTGAACAATCATATAGTTTACTATGCAGGGAACACACAGATTGAAGAGGAATAGAGATGCATTCATTGTCAAAAAGAGCATCTCAAGATCCATTTTGAAGTACAATGTGGTCTGTGATAGGATAATATCTATACACCTAAGAGGATGATCAGGATTCCTGGTGTGGCACTGTAGAATCAGCACTGGACTGCAAACCACAGGACAACAGTTCAAACCCACCAACTGCTCTGCAGAAACCCTATACAGGGTCACTATCTGTTAGAACTGACTAGATGAAACTTAACAACAACAAGAGGATGATCAGTTAATACCACAATTATTCAAATTCATGCACCAACCACTAAAATCAGTGGTGATGAAACTGAAGAATTCTACTAAATTTGTTAGTCTGAAATTGATTAAACATGCAATCAAGATGCATCAGTAATTACTGGTGATTGGAATGTGAAAGTTGGGAACAAAAAGGGAAGCTCAATAGTAGAAGGTGATAGAAATGCTGGAAATTGCATGATAGAATTTTGCAAATACCTTTTTTCAGCAACATAAATGATGGCTATACAAATGGGCCTCAGCAGATGGAACACACAGGAATCAAGTTGGCAACATCTATGAAAAGAGACAATGGAGAAGCTCCATATCATCAGCCAAAACAAGGTCAGAAGCAGACTCGGAAGAGACCATCAAATGCACATATACAAGCTTAGACTGAAGCTGAAGAAAATTAAAACAAGTCAACAAGCCAAAATATGACCTTGGATATATCCCAGCTGAATTTAGAGACCATCTCAAGAACAGATTTTATCATTAGGCACTAATAACCAAAGAGTTGTGAGATGACACCAAGAACATCATACATGAAAAAAGAAAAAGGTCATTAAAAATACAGGATAGAAAGAAAAGATCAAAATGGATATCAGAAGAAACTCTAAAAATTACTCTTGAGTATGTTGTTCTTACTGTTGTTGTCAGGTGTTTGTCAAGTCAGTCCCAACTCAAAGAGCCTTATGCACAACAGAACTAAACACTGCCTAGTCCTCACAATCATTTTTAAGCTTGAGTCCACTGCTGAGGCCATTCTGATGATCCATCTCATTGTGGGTCTTTCACTTTTCACTGACCCTCACTTAGCATGATGTCCTTCTCAAGGGACTGGTCCCTCCTGATAACATGTGCAAAGTATGGGAGACAAAGACTCACCATCCTAGCTTCTAAGGAGCATTCTGGCTGTAGTTCTTCTAACAGATTTGTTTGTTCTTCTAGCAGTCCATGGTACTGTTAATAGTCTTCTCCAACACCATAACTCAAATACATCAATTCTTCTACAGTCTTCCTTATTCACTGTCCAAGTCTCAAATGCATATGAAGCTATTGAAAATACCATGGCTTAGGTCAGGTGCACCTTAAGTTGTAGATAGTGATCCAAGAAAAATGAAGTCTTTGACAACTTCAATCTTTTCTCCATTTATTATGATGTTATTTATTGTCTAGTGGTCAGCATTTTTGTTTTCTTTATTTGATGTGCAATTCATACTGGAGGCTGTGGTCTTTGATCTTCATCAGTAAATATTTTAAGTCCTTTTCACTTTCAGCAAGCCAGGTTGTATCATAAGTATGGTTAAAGAATACAAGTCTGGCCATACTTTTTCTGATTTTAAATTATTCAGTGTCCCTTTGTTCTGTTCAAATGACTGCCTCTTGGTCTATGTACAGGTTCCTTATGAGCACAATTGAGTATTCCAGAATACTCATTCTCTGCAATGCTGCCCATAACTTGTCAGGATTCACACAGCTGAAAGCCTTTGTGTAGTCAATAAAATATAGGTAAACATCTTTCTGGTAGTCTCTGCTTTCAACCAAGATCCATCTGACATCAGCAATGATAGCCCTTGTTCTACATCCTTGTCTGAATCTGGCTTGAATCTTTGGCAGTTCCTTGTCAATGTACTGTTGTAGCCATTTTTTAATTATCTTTTTAAGCAAAATTTTACTTGCATGTAAGATTAATGATTGTTAGATGATTTCCACATCCCATTGGATCATGTCTCTTTGGAATGGGCATCAATATGGATCTCTTCCAATCAGCTGGCCAGTCTTCCAAACTTCTTGGCATAGATGAGTGAGTGCTGCCAGTGCTGCATCTGTTTGCTGAAAGCTTTCAATTTGTTATTTATCAATTCCTGAAACCTTGTTCTTTGCGAATGCCTTCAGTGCACTTTGGACTTTCTTCCTTCAGTACCATTGACTCTTAAGCATATACTATCTCTTGAAATTGTTGAACCATCCATTTCTTTCTGGTACAATGACTGTGTACTCCTTCCATCTTCTTTTGATGCTTTCTGCATCATTCAATAGTTTGTCCATAAGAGTAGAAAGCCTCATCTTTCTATCGAGGAGCAGCTGGTAGGCTTGAACAACCAACCTAGTGATTCACAGTCCAGTGATTATCTTATGGAGCCACCGTGTTCCTGCATCAACTGGTAGCTGCCAGAAATTCAAGCTGGATTCATAAAGAAGACATGGAATGAGGGCTACTGTTGCTTATGTCAGATGGGTCTTGCTAGATGCAGAGAAAACCAGAAAGATGTTTTGTTGTTGTTGTTGTTAGGTGCCATCTAGTCAGTTCTAACTCATAGAGACCCAGTGCAAAACAGAACGAAACACTGCCTGATCCTTCGAAGTTTATTTGTGCTTTATTGACTATGCAAAAGCACTCAACTGTATGGATCATAACAAACTCTAGATAACATTGTAAAGGATGGATATCCCAGAACATTTAATAGTGCTCTTGAGGAACCTGTACAAAAACCAAGAGGCAGTTGTTAGAACAGAATAAGGGATGTTTTAAAATCAGGAAAGGTGTCTGCCAGGTTGTATCCTTTCACCAAATTCTACATCCACTGGTGGCCAGTTTCTATAAGGCAGATGTCAGACATGCTTCCACCCTCCAACCTGCTGTACCGATTCGGACTCCAGTCTTTTATTCTGCATCACTTTGGACTTTCTCAGTGGGGGTCAATAATTCGTTGCAATGGCCACACAGAACTCATAGGCCGTACTCACTATTATAAGCTTTATTAGGGAAGTTGTTTGTTGTTAAATGCCGTGGAGTCAGTTCCAATTCATAACAACCCTATATAGGGTTTTCTGAAAAGTGGCTGGTGGATTAGAACAGCCAACCTTGTGGCTAGCAATACAGTGCTTAGCCTATGTTTCCAACTCATAGTCACCTTGTACAGGGTTTCTGAGGAATGGCTAGTGTGTCTGAACCACCAACCATGTGGTTCAAACCGACCTTGCGATCTGGTGCTTATCCTACAGTGCCACATCAGGACCTCATTGAAGGCTTCCGTTTTCAAATGATGAAATGGAAACCAAATAGGTTAAGTGGCCTAACAGTGAATTTAAGTCTAAGTTCTTATTGAAATTTTAGATCTGATCATTGCTCAGTCTTCTTGGGATACTTAAGTGCCGTTGAATCGGTTCAGACTCACAGCAACCCTGTGTAGGGTTTCTGAGGAGTGGCTGGGGAGCTTGAACCACCAGCCCTGCCCTTCAAACCAACCTTGCAGTCCAGCACATTAACCCACAGCACCACACCAGGACTCAGAAGTGATTTATGATCTAGATGGGATAATATGATTTGTGCATACTTAAGAGATGGTCACATCTCAGCTCCAGATCTGTTTGTTAATATTATTTAACGCTTAAGTGGCTTTTTTCATTTATTGACTTACACTTAAGTGGCTTTTTTTTTTTTCCATTAGTGAGGCAGAGTTGAATGTAGCCATCCGGTTCTCCAGATGCAAATGAAACTCTGCCCCTCCCTTGCTTCAAACCTTCTGGGGCTAAATCCCCAGCAAGTCCCAGCAGGATCTCCCCTCTGGCAGACTTCTCTTTTGTAGTGCATATTTTTTGCTTTACCTGAAATAAAGAGTACTGGTGTGAAGCTGTAGGATAAAGCACTGGACTGTAAGGCTGGTTTGAACTACAAGCTCAGTGGTTCAAATCCACTGGTCAATCCTTGGAAAGCCTATACAGAGTCGCTATGAGTCAGAACTGACTCCACGGCACTTAACAACAACAAGACCAACCAGGAATATATTTCCTTCCCACTTCCTCTTCACTTAGTGGCCTCCTCTTCATCCTTCAGGTCTCAGGTAAAACATTCTGCCTGCTTTTAGGAAGCCTTCCAAGTTTTCCCATTAACACTTTTTCTTTGTGTCTTGTCTTGGAGTTCTGTGTGATTATCTGAATAGGATCCACCCTCCCTTCTAGATAGTATTTTCCAGTAGGATGGAGACTGTATCTTGGCCAACACTTGTCAAATAGCACCCACTCATGGAGAAGGATATCATGTTTGGCAAGGTAGAGGGTCAGAGAAAAAGAGGAAGACCACCAGTGAGATGGGTTGGCAAAATGGCAGCATCAATGGACTCAAGCATGGTAACAGTTGTGAGGTTGGCCCAGGACTGGACCGGGCAGTATTTTGTTATGTTGTGCATAGGGTCACTATGAGTCGGTACCAACTCGATGGCCCCTAACAACAACAACATCTATTTGTGAATGTTTGAATGAAGGGTGTCCACTAGAGGAGTCATATATTCACCAACCCCGTCTTGTAGGTGCCTTAATGCATCCTTATAGCCTTTGTTAAAGAAATGCCTGCTGGGCGTGTTCTAAGACAGCTGAGGCGATGCCACTCTATTCTCTGCAGCAAGAAATAACTTCTGGGCGAAGGATGTTCCCATCCTGATTAGGTAGCAGGAGAGGCCTCACCTGTGCAGCCACTCTTCCTCAGTGAAGCCACCTCTGGGCAATAGAGAACTTAGTTGCTAAGTCATGATATGACATCCAGAGAGCTCCTTCCCACCCTTTGTGTTAGGTGACCTTGAGGTGACTGCAATAGCAAATTCCCAGCCTCTTGACATCATTGATTCTATCTCAAAGGAAGGTAGAAACCTCCCAATGGCTGAAACCAGATTTTCAACTCAGCCCAGGGTTTCAATGATAATGGTTGCAAAATAGCTTTTCTCAGAATTAAAAGTAACATGATAATGTTTTTGTTCTCATTTTTAGCCCAGAAAGCTCTTTCTTTTGGCTATATCACTCAAAGTAAGTACCTTTGAATTCTAGCTATCTACTGCTCAGTTACGGAGCCCTGGTGGCATAGTGAGAAAGGGTGGGTGGCTAACCAAAAGGTTGGTAGTTTGAGCACACCAGCTGCTCTGCAGGAGAAACTTAGTCTGTTTCCATAAAGAGTCCAGCCTGGGAAACCATATAGGGGCAGTTCTACTCTGTTCTATAGAGTTGCTGTGATTTGGAATCAACTCTACCACAAGGGGTTTGGTTCTGGCTTTGTGCTGCTCTCTCCCACACCCAGTCTTGAACTCCCTACAGTCCATTCCATTTTGGTTTGGGTGAAGGTTTACAAAGCAAATTAGTTTTCCATTCAACAACTTACACACATATTGTTTTGTAACATTAGTTGCAATTCCCTCAGTGTTACAACACTCTTAACACTTCCTCCCTGAGTTCCTGTCTTTTTCTGCTCCTGCCTGCCTTCTGAACTTTGTTTTGGGGCAAATACTGCCCTTTTGGTTTCATCTGAGGAGTACGTTCCTCAGTGCCGCATGAGTGTTTAATTCACATTATTGGCCTAGCTGTTTGATTGGCTGAAAGTTGATTCCCGGATGGGGGCAGTGAGGTGGTGCAGGGGTTTAAATTCCTGGTTTAAAGGATGTCCAAGGATCACAATCTTGGGGCATACCAGTCTATCTCAGTAAGTCTGGTCTTTTTTATGATTTAAAATTTTGTTCTACATTTTTCTTCCATTCTACCTAGGACTTAGTTCATCTGGTCTCAGGCTAACATTACTCCTTTGGACTAATTGTTTTCTTGAGTCTTTGATTTTCTTCACTCTTCTTTACTTAGGCAGGGAGAGACCAATAGTTGCATCTTAGCTGTTAAAACCCCAGTCACCACTCTTACACAGTAAGATGTAGAAGAACATTGTTATCTTAGTTACTCAATGCTGCCATAACAGAAATACCTCAGTCCGTAAGTGGATGGCTTTAACACACAGAAATATATTCTCGTAGGAGGTTAGAAGTACAAATTCAGAGTGATTACTCTAGGGGAAACCTCCCTCTCTTCGTTGGCTCTGGGAAAGGTCCTTGTCTCTTTTCACCATCTGTAGGTTCAACATTTCTTGGAGATCTTTATGAGTCTGGGCATCAATCATCCTCGGGATCTCGGAGCTTCATAGAGCGGGGACCCCAGATCCAAAGGACACAGTCCTCTCCTGTCTCTCTTCTTTGTTGGTGGCAATAGATCCCTCTGAGCTGAGCGTATTTAATCTTTGTTATGGCTCTGAAGTGATTAACTCAAGATAATAAACGAATTCTGTAGACTGCATACAGCCTCATTATCATAAATGTGAGAATTTATAGCACATAAGATAATCACATCCAATCAGAGCTGATCACATCATGCGGAGGGGTTTATCACATAAACCACCAAGAATCATGGCCCAGCTAGTCTGACACATATTCTGGGAGGATACAATTCAATCCATGACAGTTGCCTTTGTGAACCATATGGAGGCATGCCTGACCTCAGCCTCATAGGAATCGGTCTCCTTCAACCTTGTGAAACAGGAGGGGTCAGATGCAGACTCCACGCAATTTTATTTTAAACAATATAGTAGAGCATGTTGTTGTTAGGTGCCATCAATTCTGCACCAACTCATAGCCACCCTGTATAGGGTTTTCAAAGCTGTAAATCTTTGCAGAAGCAAAAAGCCTCATCCTTCTCCCATGGAGCAGCTGGTGAGATTAAACTGTTGACCTTGTGGTTATTAGCCCAGTACTTACCATACCGAGCCACCAGATTCCCATAGTAGAGCATACAGGAGACAAAATTGTGAAGACGTCTTAGCTATAATCAAACACCTTGAGCAAATGACTCTCTGGGCTTGAAGACAGAAAGCTCAGCGCACAATGTTGTACTTAACTGTCTTTATTTTCCCCAACCTTTATTTCTGATACAATTGATCCTTTGGCATTAAATCCTAACTTTTATGGTCATATGCCATGAGGCCTTGGCAACTTGTTCAAACTCACCAGGCCAATATCTTACTGTAAACTGAAAATAAACATAAAAAGCTCTATTCTCACTAAGTGGTGGGAATGACCAAGATCATGTGAAAATACCTACTTAAGTGTCTCTCTTTTTGTTCCCTTTTATTGCTTTTCATTCTTGTTTACTATAACCAAACTTTTTTTTTTTTTTAATCATGGTTGTTGGTGGTTATGTGCTGTGGAGTCAGTTCTGATTCATAGCAAACCCTGTACAGGGTTTCTGAGGCTGTAAATCTTTACAGGAACAGAAAACCTCATCTGTCTCCCACGGAACAGCTGGTAGTTTTGAACTGCTGACCTTGCGGTTTGCAGCCCAATTCTTAACCACTACGCTACCAGAGCTTTGTCATAGGCCATTTCAAAGTCTTCCTGGAAGCAGATGGACTTTATAATAAGGTTCTTCATAGGCCTCTATCTGTTCCTAAATTATCTCATCACCTTATTTGTACAGCTAGGTGCATTCCCATTTCTGCCCATTTTTCGGTTCCTCCAGAAGGCTCCTAACTTGGAGAGATTGGAAAGGTTGGACATATTGGTAGCTAAGTTGATTTCTGATTATAGTTTCCTGAACTTCTAGTGCAGCTATTTTCAGACTTTCTGAGCTCGTCACTACGATTTTTGAGCAACTTGAATTTTCTCAATTTAGTGTAAGAGACAATTTTTTGAAATGCGCCTTCAATATTTTTAAGACTACAACTCCTTACAGAAAGTATCAGCTTATAAAACTCTTTCACATATGAAAATGAAATACATCTCATCCAGGCATTAAAGCTATCTACCTGGCAAGTCTATTATTGTTAATATTAACTATTCTTTAAAGATGAGAAGATTGGGATTCTGAGAGAGTCAATGACCTATAACAGTCACACAACTAGTAAATAGCAGATCCAGGCCTCAGGTTAATGCCTCAGTGCTCCCATTGCCTGCACCTTTCTTTTCCTTTCTGTTTCTCCTTGGTACTCAGATTGAGCTGAGTACTATCTTTGCCCAAGGCCCCTCCTCTTTCACTTTTATTTCATGGACTGGCATTTAAAAAATAGTGTCAACTGCCATAGATCAAAAAGAGTTTGGGTACCCCACCCCACCCCCCACTCGGTTTGGGAGTATCTCACTTTTCTTAAAATGACTGTAACCTTTTTTTTTACTTCCTAGAAACCCTGAAGTTGGTGACAGCAGTGCTCAGAAGGGCTGGTGGTTTCCAAGCTGGTTTAATAATGGGTAAGGCTACCACATGACCATCCATGTTTGTCCACCATCCAGCATTTACAAAGAGTCCAAATGGAACGGCCTTGTGGCCATGACCTCACTCACTCATCTACCTTGCTTACTGAAATCATATGAGGCACTAAGACATTTACTGTTTTGTTTGTTTTTCTCCCCAAGTTAACTTGAAGTTAAAGTTTAGATTGTAGGAAAGGCAAACTAAAATGTTTTCATGAGAATTATTTTATCAACTTTCTCCCACCCTCTGAAACGACTGAGGGTCTTTGAGTCATTAAATTGCTAACTGGGCTGACTTGAAAGAGTAACAAGAATGGTGAGTACTATGTCTTTCCAGCAAAAGTTAGTGTTCATGCCTCAAAGTTTAGTTTCACAAATCTCTAGCCAGTTCACTTGATGTGTGTGTTCATTGTTCATGAGCACATTTTAACCAGTTATCCCCAGACTGCCTCAGCATTGCAGATAGTCTTCCCTGCCTTACTTTGCTTCTCTTTGTATTTAGGACCCACAGTTATCAAGAAGAAGAAGCACATATAGACAACGAAAAGAGAAAGGAAGACAAAAAAGAACTGCAGCTATTGGATTGGTTTAATCCAAAGTAAGAAATGAAATGTCACCCCATGAACAGTAGATCCATAATGCTGTAAGAGGTGTGGCCTGTGAAAACAGCAATACCATTGATAACAGTCTTGATTTTGAAGAATTTTACCACGTATTGTTGTTGTTGTTAAGTGCCGTCGAGTCAGTTCCAACCCATAGCAACCCTGAACAGGGCTTTGGAGGCTGTAAATCTTTACGAGAGCAGAAAGCCTCATCTTTTTCCCACGGAGCAGCTGGTAGTTTCGAACTGTTGACCTTGCAGTTTGCAGCCCAATTCGTAACCACTACGCTACCAGAACTCCTCTTACACCTTGACAATAGAATTTGGGTGAGAACCTGAGACTCTGGATATTTTGACTCAAATACTTGAGCAACATGGAGTCCTGGTATAGTGCTACAGGATAATGCATTGGGCCACAAGGTCAGTTTGAACCACAAGGATGGTAGTTCAAACTCACCAGCCACTCCTCGGAAACCCTATACAGGGTCGCTATGAATTGCAAATGATTCTACCGGCACTTAACAACAATAACTTGAGCAATATAATGATTCTCACACCAATTAACCAATGGTAGTAGATGAATCACAAAATATTGGGGCAGAGAAGGCTCTTATAGGCCACAAGGTATTATGAAAAGCCACAAGATCTGGAGTCAGAGCAAGAAAATTTGTTTCTGTAAAATGAGAATGGTGATAAAAATTGCATAGGGCCATAAATTTGTTAATTAAGCCAATGTGCAACAAATATTTATAATATCTATTATATGCTAGCCCACTGTCTTCAAAATTGCTGATCTTTGTATCTTATAGAGACCTTATGAGCTTCTTGGTGTTATAGAGGGCCAACAGACACGAAAGCAGTACTTGCTCACATTGGGGAGTACAATCACCCCAACTTAAAGAAGAATTTGGTCTGGGGAATAAGTAGGCAGGAGCTGTCTGGGATGACAGTGAGGGCTGGAAGACTGGTGGCTGGTGATGACGCTGACCAGGGAAGAGATGTTGGAAACACAGGCCTAGGTGTATAGGAGGTGATGACCCTCATTAGCAATGGGGTTAGGTGGAGGGGCTTGTGGGGCATCAGGATGGAGATTCACAGGGTGCCCATGAGCATAATGAAAGCCATGTGGTGAGATATGAGGTGGGAAGTCACCAGGTTGTATGTGGCAGTGGGATCTATGGGCCTGGATGAGGTCACCCAGGGAGAGAAAAAGGAGCAAATTCTGACACCAGCGAGGTCAGCGGTTCAAACCCACCAGCCATTCTTCAGTAGAAAAATGAAGCTGTCTGCTCCCATAAAGATTTATGGTCTCAGAAATCCTAAGGAAAGGTTCTACTCTATCTTACAGTGTTGCTGTAGAGTTACTGTGAGTCAGAAATGCCTGGGCAACAGTAGCTTTTGTTTTGTTGTGGTTTGGGGTTTGAAGAGGCACCAAGGTTAAGTCTTCTCAGACCACCAAAGTATATGTGTTACATGAATGAGTGATTGAATAAACAAGTAAATGTATTTCATATCAATGATGTCAAGCCATATATATCCTTTTCTATATTATAGAAAAAAAAGACACTTTCTATAAAATGTCAAAACATAGTGCAATATATTGTGGACATATTTCTATAACTGTATGTCAAGATTTCTTGGCCTACATGACAGCACACCCTCTATATTTTCTTCCTATTCCTCCCCTCGCAAGCATTTCCCTTTTGTAGGGTCATCTCCCTCCACTCAGCCATTAGATATCGGTGTCTTTAGGGGCTAAGCTAATGGAAGAAATGACGAGGTAAAAGAGCGGAACAAAAAATTTCAAAGGACAACTGTAAAGACAAAGTCAAGTATTATATTGAAATGTGCAAAGACCTGGAAAAATATACACAGCATTTCTCAAACTGAAAAAACTGAAGAAATAATTCAAGACTTGATTTCAAGTATTGAAGGATTTTATGGGTAAGATATTCCTCCCATCGTTTTTTGATGTTTTTGATGCAGGAATCCTCAAAAGAAGATGGAAAAAAATACAGAATCACGGTGCCAAAAAAAATTGGTACATGTTCAACAATTTAATGGGGTAGCATATGCTCAAGAACCAATGGTATATAAAGGAAGAAGTCCAAGATGTACTGCAGGCAATGAACGCAATGACAAAAAAATAAGACTCCAGGAATTGACAGAATACTAATTGAAATGTTTCAACACTGGAAGCACTTGTCTATGCCAATAAATTGGGAAGATCTTGCCAATTGACTTGAAGAGATCTATAGTTGTGCCCATTCCAAAGAAAGATGACTCAACAGAATGTGTAAATTATAGAATATTGTCATTAATATCATACACAAGTAAAATTGTGCTGAAGATAACTTAAAATGATTGCAGCAGTACATCAACAGAGAGCTGCCAGAAATCCAGTCTGAATTCCAAAGGGAACTTGAAACGAGGGATATCATTGCTGATATCAGATGGATCTTGGATGAAAGCAGAGAATACCAGAAAGATGTTTACTTGTGTTTTATTGATTGTGCAAAAGCATTCAATTTTGTGGATCATAACAAACTATGGATAATATTGAGAAGAATGGGAATTCCAGAATACTTAATTGTGCTCAGGCAGAACCTGAACAAAGAATAAGAGGCAACCATTCAAATAGAACAAGGAGATACTAAGTAGTTTAAAATCAGGAAAGGTGTGCTTCAGCATTGTATCCTCTCATCATACTTATTCAATCTGTATGCTGAGCAAATAATCCAAGAAGCTGGACTTTATGAAGAACGTGGCATTAGGATTGGGGGAAAGCTCATTAACAACCACAGTACACAGATGACACAACTTTGCTTGCTGGAATTGAAGAGGACATAAGCCATTTGTTGATGAAGATCCAAGAACGAACACAGTCTTTAATGTGGATTACACCTCAACATAAAGAAAACAAAAATCCTCACAATTGGACCAATAAATAACATCATGATAAACAGAGAAAACATTGACGTTGACAAGCATTTCATTTTACTTGGATTTACAATCAACACTCATGGAGGCAGCAGTTAAGAAAGCAAACGACGTATTGCATTGGGCAAATCTGCTGCATAAGACCTCTTTAATGTATTAAAGAATAAAGATGTCACTCTGAGGGCTTAGGTGCACCTGGCCCAAGCCATGATATTTTCAGTTGCCTCTTATGCATACGAAGGCTGGAGCATGAACAAGGAAGGCTGGAGAAGAATCGATGCATTTGAATTGTGGTATTGATGAAGAATCTTAAAAGTACCATGGACTGCCAGAAGAACAAACAAATCTGCACTGAGAGAAGTAAAACCAGAGTACTCCTTGGAGTTAGGATGCTGAGGCTTGGTTTCACATACTTGCGACATGTTGTCAGAAGGGACCGATCCCTGGAAAAGAACATCATGGTTAGTAAAATAGAAGGTCATTAAAAAGTGGAGGATCCCCAAATGAAATGGACTCACAGTGGTTGCAGCAAAGAACTCAGACATGGCAGCAATTGTGGGGGTGACACAGGGCTAGTGTTTTGCAACAAGCCCCATGTCCTTCTGTCTTCTCATTTACACCATCATGCAAGGTGCCCTCATCCATTTCTGTGGCTGAGATCACATCAATGTAATGGTGACTCCCACATTTATAGCTTATAAATACATAACATTCAAGCTACAAATAATCTAATTAGATCTTTGTTTGGGTTAATGAGACCCTGTGCCTGTGTGTGCATATATGTGTGTGCACATATGCACGCAGCCTTTAGCCCACACTAGTGGAACTGCCTGAGCTGATGAACCACCATTGGGTGTGTAAAATGGAGGAAGTAGTACTAGCTGCATCAGGGAGTATAATGTCAATCAAGATCAGCCCAAGGTTGATCCCTATGAGGTGCAGGTCAGACAAACCTCCACTCTCCAATCTGTTTTTAACCAATTCTGACACCAGCCACCCTTCCCACGGCACTCTCTACTTCTTTTCTGAGTTTGATAATCCACTGCAATGAGTACAGGAGACTCACAGGCTATCCTTACAGGTAAGTGGTATACTAAAGTTAGAACTCAGGATCAAAATCAGAAAACATGTAGGCAAATCAGGAGGGACCAAAAGTCCCTGGAAAAGAACGACATGGTTGGTCAAGTAGAAGGTCAATGAAAATGAGATGAACTGAAAGAATGGTTGCAGCAAAGAACTCAGACATGGCAGCAGCTGTGGGGGTAGCACAGGGCAGGACAGCTCTCTCTGCTCCCCTCAGCCCTGCAGGCCTCCCCTCAGCTCTCTGAGCTCAGGTCTCCTCTTGGTGTGCTGTCTGTTACCTCCAGTTCTCCCTCTGCACCCCTTTGGATCTCTCAGTGTCTTCGCTGTTAGAGCCCTTGACCTATGCGTGTATCACAGCTCTTTTAGGAGGTTCCTTGTCTCCTCTCTGTCTCAGCTGCTTCTTTCTTCTCTCTTCTTTCTTCCTTCTGCTTTGCTTTCTCGTTCTTTCTGTCTCTTAAAAAAATCTATATATGGTTTTCTGCATAAACACACCAATTATTTCATTTCAAGGCATACCTCTAGTATCAGGGCCATCACCTGACCAATCATCCTGTCAAAGGGACTAATCCTCTCGCTTGTAGGCTACAGATACTGAATTTGCATACTAGGCTACAACATATCTCTTTTACATAGTATATTGATCAATCCCTGAAGCGTGTATACCAAGCACATGGCAGGCTACATCCCAGGACCTGACAAAAATATCAAACAGATTGTTTACAGTTTACCCAGGAAATGTAAATCAACCTGAGCAAAAGTAACAAACCCTTTGGGCAGAAAACTAATGTAAAAGTAATTCTTTAGGACTTCTTCTTGTTGTTGTTAAATGCTGTCGAGTCAGTTTTGATTCATAGCGACCCTGTACAGGGTTTCTGAGAAACAGTTGGTGGGTTTGAACTGCTGACCTTGTGATTAGCAGTCCAGTGTTTATTCTACAGCACCACACTAGGAGTCCTAAGGGCTTAGGGGTACAATATCTCATGCTATTTTCCCAAAGAATCAAGACAAAAGACCACCCACTTAAAGGAAGTAATTGCACCCAGGTTCCTGATTGGAAGGAAGGCACTAGGGCAGAGTCTTCCCCGCCCTTTGTCCACCTTTTCGAGTCCCATCTTGGTGACCTAACACCAACAACTTGGTGACACTGGGGAAGGCTAGGTCTTGCCCAAGCAAGGCCAGCTCTCTGTCATCTCTGCGTAAACTTCGTGCTTTATTTTGTGTTTGTTGTTGAGATCCACATGGGTTTGATGACTAAGACTTCTTGTGGAGAGATTCATCCAGGAAGCTGGTCCTGTCTTATCCTCCCTCCCTCCACCTCCTCCTGCCTGCCTTGTCTTTCTTTTCATGCTGTTGTCTGGCTTCTTAGCGCCTCAGACATGTTGGAAGTGTCAATGGAATTCAATAATTAACAGCTGGGATATAGAACACTTTAATTTTTAATTCAAAATTAATTTTTAATAGTGTTACTTTTCGTTCTTGCTAGAAGGAATCCTTCCCATCTAAGGAACCAAGCTGGACACTGGTTTTCTGCTTCTATTTTTTTAGAAGATGTGAACTCAGTGGTCTTGCAGAAGTGTGTAGCAGACCAACCACCTGTCAGGACTGGGAGAATCTCAAGGGACAGGACTGGGTGTCCTTTCTCTCACTCAACACTTGGCACTGGGATACAGGAAATATGCACTGAGGGTTAATAAGTAGCCTGGCCTGGCCGTTCAAAGACAAAATCCCTTCTCTTTCTCTTTGACTTCCACTTTCTTTATTTGTAAAATGGAATTTTGCAAATTTAACTTCATACAGTGGCTGTGAAACCTGAATAAAATGATAAAAGCCACGTACCTAGCTCTTGGTGCATCAAACCCAAACCAAACCTATTGCCACTGAGTTGACCCTAACTTTCTGGTAGCGTAGTGGTTACGAATCGGGCTGCGAACCTTAAGGTCAGCGGTTTCAAACTACCAGCTGCTCCATGGGAGAAAGATCAGGCTTTCTACTCCCGCAAAGATTTACACCCTCGGAAACCCTGAACAGGGTCGCTATGGGTCGGAACCGACTCGACGGCACTTAACAACAACAACAACAACTTAGCAACCCTATAGGACAGAATAGAGCTGCCTCATAGGGTTTCCAAGGCTGGACTCTTTATGAAGTTCAAACCCAGCAGCTGCTCTTTGGAAACCCTATACAGGGTCACTATGAGTCGGAACTGATGGACGGCTGTTAACAACAACTCTTTATGAAAGCACATCTTTCTCCTGGAGAGTGGCTGGTGGGTTCAAATCACTGGCCTTGAAGTTAGCAGCTGAGCACTTAACCACTGTGCCATGAGGGCCCCTTCATACATGTTATATAAGTACCTGTGCTCCATTCCTTTCCTCCTCTCTCCCTTTGAAGTGTTAATAATGTTACCTGTTCTAGCACAGTTGGAAGATCCCTGGCGGGCTAAACTCAGACTAGAGGGCACTAGATGCTGACAGATAGCAACCAAGGGAAGAGTCTCCCTTTAGGTTCATCAGAGACAATAGGTGTAGAGTAGAAACCGTGCATGTGTGAGTGTGTGGGGGTGGGGTGGGATTTATGGGTGTTTTTGGTTGGAAATTTTGTCATGCAACAAAGCCAGTGGTTTTCTGTGACTCAAAGTACCACTCATTTCTCAGTAACATTAAGGAAAAAGCTGCGGCGGCTTATTGGAAACGATGTTACCTTTAGATTCAGAGCCTCATCATCTCAACAATAAACACCCATGTGAGAAGCGGTGTAGTGTGGTGGCTCCTGACTATGTCAGTTCAAATCCCAGCTTTGCCCTTTACTAGTTGCATGACCTTGGACAAGTTAACCCTCTCTGTGCTGCAGTTTTCTCTTCTGTTTAATGGAAATCAAAAAAACACCCACCTCAGAAGACTGAAGCCCTGAATACAGGTCAAAAGCCCTGGAGCAAGCATTGTCTATTGTCCTTCTCACACACACACACACACACACACACACACACACACACACCCCGCACACATACACAGGAGGACTCTATGTTTCTTAATTCCCATCATTGGTAACCAGTTGTGTGACCTTAGACAAATTGACAAGCCTCTCTGAGCCTTGCTTTTCTTATCTGTACAATGGAGGTATACATAGCAGGGCCCTTGTAATGACTAGATGAGACCGTGACTGGGAAGGCTCCTGGCACAGGCTCCGGCAGAGTCCACAGGAACTTCTTTCATGATTGTCCTCTGTGCTGCAGGTCCTGGGGTGCTGAGAGCAGAGCTGTGAGCAACCTAAGGGTGCCCCCATCTCTATTCAGTGAAGAATGAAGCAGGACAGAATCAGGGCAAAGGATGGTCTGAGGGCAGAGGCAGCTCAAGAGTTCCAGCATGCAGACTTGGGGACAGAGGGAGAGGAGACTAGAGAGAGAGACTTCTGGAGGTTCATTGTGCACTGCTGAGACTGGGGTGAGGTGGGAGATGGTTCGGCATTGCCCAGTCTCACCGTGTGCTGGGCCAGTGATGGAGTGGCAACAGTTTTGTAAACACACAGCCTTCTAGTCTGTGTCTGGCTTTAGGACAACACCAGTTGTGAGGGCTGGTGAAGTTCTCCATGACACAATCTGTGTGCACACCACACCCCAACAGTCTCGCCAGGCCATGTGGGTTCCAGGGGCAGGACTCTGCCTCAATCACTTTCCCAGAGCCTGGGACAGGAAGTGACTGAATGAAGATGTTCCCCCTAAAGTGCAAGCAAATGCTAAGCCAGTGCCTTGCCTTTACTGGTGTTTGAATCTAAATGATTGTTTCTGTCCTCATCTTCCCAGCAGGGGAAATGCAGCCACTTCCTGAGTAATAGGGGTCAGAGTTCCCCTCTTATGCAGGGAGCTTCTTCAGCCTCATGCTGGGCCCCATCCTTTCACATTTACCCTTTATGGTTTCATACTTTTGTTGTTCTGTGGCTTCCTGTGTTTATGTTGGATTTGTCAAGTCTCTTTCAAGCTCTCTCAGTGCAGAGAACAAACATGCCTTCCTGTCTCACCATTTGGCCTCCTAGTCAAGGCCTTTGTCTGTGGTGCCTCTAACTCCTTGTTTGCAAAATGAATAATGCCAGGACCCCTAGGTGGGTGTCATTTCTGCTCACCCAGAAGTCCTTTCTAGCAAAAGGTAAACTAAAACAGCCTTTTCTGTTTTGGTTCTAATAATTCTCACCCTAAAACAAGGATGAGGGGTTTTTAGGCTTAGGTGCCACCCACCAGGATAAAGCCTCCCTAAGGATGCCTAGGCAGACTAGGAAGTGGGTGGAGAGAGATGGAAAGGGATTGAGAAGGAGAAGAACAAGGATAGCAGCCACAGGAGAAAACCAGGTAGGAAATGTACAGGTAAGGTTGTCCCAAGACAATCCTCAGTGCTTCTGGGCCAAAGCATCTTGTCCCTCAAATGAAGATGCTGCCCTGCAAATGTCAAACCTCTCAGTCAACATTTTGCAATTTAACAGTTCGGATCCAAAGATAGAAACTGTAGACCATAGTTAATCCCAGTTGTCCCTCAGTCTCTGTCCCGCATTAGCAAAGCTGCCTTGATTCATGGGATCTGTGTTTTGTCACCAGAAAGCGCCCTGAAGTTGTGACCATGACCGAATGGAAGGCGCCAATTGTGTGGGAAGGCACTTTCAACAGAGCCATCTTAGAAAATTATTATGGCAAACAGAAGATTACCGTGGGTTTGACAGTTTTTGCTGTTGGAAGGTAGGTGTCACCAATAAAATGATCCTTTACTTTTTCTTGATGGATTGCCAAAATTTTTATGAGGGCTTCTGTGGACTCAGAAAGGTTGTTCATGAATGAGCTGAATTATTATTACATAAGAGCATGCCTCAGTGGTACCATTTCCATATCATTTCTGCTGAGATTGTAGGAGACTAAGAACAAAACAGTAGCTGAGTCTTCCCATTCCTACCACAGAGTGATGGCCTTGAGATGTAGGCAAAAATGCCTGTCATACCCACTGAACCTAGAGGTTGTTGCCATCCACAATCTCCTCACTGACCTCAATGGCTTCCTGGGGAAATTTCCAGAGTTCTAGACAGTCCAAGTGCACGTCATTCTTTCTCCTGGGCTCTCAAGCCCCTGAACTAAGAGCAGAGGGATGTACAGCAAGTTGCTATGAGTCAGAGTCAATTCCATGGCAACGGGTTATGCAGTAACTTGACCACAGTGGTTTTCCATGTTCAAGCATGACGGACAATTCTGAGGATTACAAACACCATTCCAACCTATCACTACTAAAGGCTGGTCAGAAATACCCCTCCCAGTGGTCAGGTAGGTTCCTGTTTCAGTTTCCATTTTTCTATTCAGAGCGTTTCTCCAAAAACTGTACTGTTTCTTACTTGAAAGTAGCAGTGATATAACTCATTTTGAGTTTTTGGAGACTTTCTAGTTTAATTTCTGCCCCGTTAAAACAAAAGCAAAAGTTCAGTTGTCGTATTTTTCCTCTTTGGGGGCCTTCCCATCTGTAGCTGTCCTGAGAAAGCCACATGGAAAGTTGATTCCTTTGTCTTGTACAAAGAGAATTGAAGGCCTTGCTGACCTTTGAGCTTAGCCTGAGACAGGGCCTACAGGAGAGTACACTGTGACAGTTCTCCAAAGACAACCTTGCCCAACCAAAGCCTGGCCGCCATGGCGGTTGTTAACAATACAGTCGCTGTGTGCTGTGGAGTTGATTTTGATTTATACTAATCAAAATCAAGACTTGATGGCACCTAACAACAACAACAACAATCAAAACCATGCTAATCCTACTGAATGTATGGCTTCCAAGGGTCTAAGTGACATCTCTAAAAGAGAAGGGTGACTGGAGTTTTGACATTTTTACTAGAAGGATTTGTAATATTATGAGTTGGGAGCCAATGCACAATTCACCTAGTCCTTTGACACAAAAGAGGACAAGTTGACTGCATTGCTGATTGATTTGAACTGGAGGTTTCTAAAAATAATAGAATACCACCCACTGACTCACAGTGGCATTGGCCATTTGATTGCAAGCCTGCAGGACTGAACTATAAATTGCTATTCTCTCGGCTCTGAAGCAAGAGAGGGCTATTACCATGCTCACAGGCAATGCTGCTGTTGGTTAGTACTGCTGAGTTGGTTCTGACTCATAGCAACTCTGTATAGGGTTTCCAAAGAGTGGCTGGTGAGTTTGAACCACCGACCTTGTAGTTAGAAGTCCAGTGCTTATCTTACATGCCACACCAGGGTGCTGCTCACAGGCAATAAATCTCCACAACTGTCGAGGACTGGCCTTGACATAGGAGTTCGGTTCACGAGGAGGAGATACCTGGCAGAGGTAAAGATATAGCAAGAATACACAGAAAGAGACAAAGAGGCACCCCGAAACCAGGGTGGATGCTGGACTGGCATCAGGCAGATCCTGCATTGCAAACATCTCAGCCAGAAAGGCTGTAATATCCTGCATAGTAAACATCTTAGCTAAACAGGCAGTATGGTTGCAATGCTGGACTGAGCCCCCTGCATGCTGTAAAGCACACCTTGCCAGTCGTAATGCAATGCACCTGGATTGTTCTGTGCCTTCCTTTTATTTAGGGGAGGTACTTTACACAAAGCTAGGAGGGACTAAGACAAGGTACAGCTGTCAATCTTACTTTTCCAGACATTCAGGCAACTTTACATCATACTTTGCAGGTTCGAATCTCACGACTGCAACTTGGTTTCTCAAGCTTAATTAACATACCTTTTAGCACCTAGCCTCAAATGGGGGGAGGAAAAGGAGGATCAGGAGGATTCCTATTGTGTAGGCTGCCCAGCCCAGGTTCTTCAGGAAAAGAGGCACCTGGGTGAATGGGCTTCACCTGGAAACACTTTAGAGAGGGCATTCCTATTGTCCTTGAAACAGAGACTGGGAAGCCACCCAATTTACTTTGAATAAATTCTCTGAGGGAAGAATTTTGCCTGTTTGGAATTTTACAGTCTTGGCTTTTAGGAAAATATTACATTTATCTGTGGACATCAAGAGCTCCATGTATGCAATTAATAAATATAACTGAACACTAAGATGAAAAACAATTTGCTATTAACTGCCAGGTGGCTAGATCTGTTCCTCAGAGCCTGTGACCTGTAATACTCGGGCCTATAGGGCCTTGAACTTCTGACCAGGACTAAACGGTCTGCAACACACAACTAATGGATTTGGACTTTTAGAAGGTATGATTTTTGGTTTGTTTTCAAATAACAATACATGGAGCCAAGTGCAATACTTTAATCTCTAAGCAATGTTAAATCTTATGAAGACTTTTTTCTCCCAGTATTGTTTCTCAAGCTTCAGGGCACAATAGATTTTTTGTAAAGTTCCAAAGTATTTAAGAATTTCATGGCCACAAGCCATAGAGCTCTGTCGAGCTCCCTCTTTATATTGCTCAAATATATTTTCTCTTTTTAAAGAATCAAAACAGTAAACCCTTGAGTTTCCATCAGCCAACTTTTTAAACACACTTAATTTCAGTAGTACAGAAAGGCAATTTAACTTCCTCTTCCCATAAGCAGCCTGAGGTAATCTCACAAAATGGTTCACTACCCACTTGACCCAGAAAACCACACAAAATCACGCAAATCCAGAGGTTCAAATCTCCAGGTCCATTTTAAGAACACCCGTGAGACTGCCCAGGCCATCAAGGGTATGCATATCTGGAAAGCCATCAAATAACTTAAAGATGTCACGTTGCAGAAGCAATGTGTACCGTTCCGACGTTACAATGGTGGTGTTGGTAGGTGTGCCCAGGTCAAACAGTGGGGTTGGACACAGGGTTGGTGGCCCAAAAAGATTGCTGAATTTTTGCTGCACATGCTTAAAAATGCAGAGAGCAATACTGAACTTAAGGGTTTAGATGTGGATTCTCTGGTCATTGAGCACATCCAGGTCACCAAAGCTCCCAAGATGTGCCGAGAAAATTTACAGAGCTCATGGTCAGATCAACCCCTACATGAGCTCCCCATGTTGAGATGATCCTCACTGAAAAGGAACAAATTGTTCCTAAACCAGAAGAGGAGTTTGCACCGAAGAAAAAGATATCGCAGAAGAAACTGAAGAAACAAAAACTTATGGCTCAGGAGTAAATTAAGCTTAAAAGAAAATGCACATAAAAGTTAAAAAAAAAAAAAAAAAAGGCAATTTAAGCAGCAACAAAAGGCAGAAAGTCATTATTATTCACAAAACATCATGATTGAGCAGGAGTCTGATCAGCAAATTAAATTCAGTCTTCATTTGCTGACCATGAGTTTGGGGTTTGGATGAGTCCCCTTCTTTCTTTTCTCTACGACCGTCACAGCATGGCTTCACAAGGTAGTGTGTAGCGTAGAATTACAACCACATTATGTTTTTGTGAACAAATCGATAAATAGCTAAAATAAAGTTAACGCTGAGGTTGTTTGCTTTACTATTTGGATGAATCTTATAAAGGTGATGATGACTAGATAATGGATTTGGGTTTAGGGTGACTGATGGCAGACTGACAGGGTGAAATATATAAGAGACAGAGATCCATGTCCCAGAACCCATTCAGGATCACAGAGGAGGATAAAAATGCCAATGGTTGGATTTGATACATTCCCCCAGAGACCCAAAGATCACATCACCCTTACATCTGGTAGAGCAGTGGCAAATTGGAATATAAGCTGGAGCCTTTGAGGTGGGGCTCAAGAACTAGCATCCCTTTTGCCTGCTCACAGTCTACACCAGTTAATAAATAAGACAAAAGGTCAACTATCACCCTCATTGCTGTTAAAGCTGGTATTGGACAATATGGTTTATATCTTTAAGTCTAATATTGGACCACAAAATTAGAAAGATATAGGCACCTAAACACCTGCTGTAGGTACCTAAACTCCAGATCTGCAGATGTGAGGAGAGCCTATATCACTAAATTTACATGTTGTCTCAGATGTGCCAACTTCCATGAGAAAAAGGAGAGGAGGGGGCAGGGCTATATATGTCCAGTCTCTCTTCCAAAGTTGGCACTCAAGTAAGTGGAGAGCCATCAGGAGTGTTAGATTAACAAGCATCTGTCCACAAGAAAATATACTTCATTCCTTTCCTGACTGTAAAATACAGAAACATGATTCTAGTGGCATTTGTCCCCTGCAGAAATCTAAGGGGCTAAATTGATCCCATTCTTCTTTTTTTTCAGGTACATTGAGCATTACTTAGAGGATTTCATAGTATCTGCTGATAAATACTTCATGGTTGGCCACAAAGCCATTTTTTACATCATGGTGGATGATAGCTCCAGGATGCCTTTGGTAGAGCTGGGTCCTCTTCGTTCATTCAAAGTGTTTGAGATCAAGCCTGAGAAGCGATGGCAGGACGTCAGCATGATGCGCATGAAGACCATTGGGGAACATATTGTAAACCACATCCAGCAGGAAGTTGACTTCCTCTTCTGTATGGATGTGGACCAGGTCTTCCAAGGAAACTTTGGGGTGGAGACCCTGGGCACAACAGTGGCTCAGCTGCAGGCCTGGTGGTACAAAGCAGATCGTGATGACTTTACCTATGAGAGGCATGCAAATTCGGCAGCATACATTCCATTCGGTCAGGGGGATTTTTATTACCATGCGGCCATTTTTGGAGGAACACCCATTCAGGTTTTAAACATCACCCAGGAATGTTTCAAGGGAATCCTTCAAGACAAGAAAAATGGCATAGAAGCAGAGTGGCATGATGAAAGCCACCTAAACAAGTATTTTTTTCTCAACAAACCCAGTAAAATCTTATCACCAGAATACTGCTGGGATTATCATATAGGCTTGCCTGCAGATATTAAAGCTGTCAAGATATCTTGGCAGACAAAAGAGTATAATTTGGTTCGGAATAATGTTTGACTTCCAATTAGGACAGTAGGGTTCTAAATTTGAGAGAGTATTATTCTGGCTACTTCCTCAGAAGCATAACACTTCATTTTAACTTAAAAAATACTAACAAACACCAACACAGCAAAGGTATATTATTTCTTCTTGAAATTTTGAACCTTTTATTATGGGAGAGTGAATCTATGATGATCAGCTGTAAATTCTCACTGATTTCTTATTTCTTATTCTGGATTTGGGGGTAATACTATCAGCTGAACCAAAAATAATTTGCCACAAGTTAAAAAGAAAGAAAGACAAAAAGCCAGAAACACTACAAGTGCCGGAAAATATACAGAAGAGAAGAGTGCTAAGGAACGTGGTTGGCAACAAGCTCTAGTTGGGGATGAGAGGTATTGCCTTTACTTCAATGTCTTCCTTTTCTTGATGAATCGAAAGCAACATAGAATTGTTGGTAGTGACTAAAAGAATGATCTAACTTGACAATCCTCAAAAGGTTTCAGTAGCAGGTTGTGTTAGTCCTTTTGTGGTCTGATGCCCTTCTCTATAAAGGATATTATTTGGTTTGGGTGTGAAAGATTGCTAGATATTCCTGATGGATATCATGGTGAATGTTTATAGTCACATGGAATCTGAATAAGTCACCATAAAGTGTCAACAAAACCTAAAAGAGAGTGAGCATTCCATGAAATAAGAGTGAGTAGAAAGAGAGGGTACCCTTAAACACATTGTAGATCCAGGCGATGAATGGGAGTGTGTGTGATCTCCAGCCTCTGCTACCCAATGACTACCTGAGTTGCAGGGACTTGAATGAAAGTTGCTTCTTGTTTGGCCCAGCTCACATTTGTGTACCAAACTCTGCAACGTGTCTTCAAATTCTTGCCAAGAAGTGGATCATGTCAGAGGAGGTACGAGTTATGGTTCCTACGAGTTAGGGCTTCATCAGAGGACAATTAATCACCAGCAAGGCCCATCTAACCCTCAAGGTCACACAGCATACCGTACAGATCCCACTTTGGGAGCTGACATCAAGTAACAGGGCTGGAGGAAAAGTCCTCCCATCAAATAACCTCTCCTTTTTTTCTTGCCCCTTTGCACTAACAAAGTGTAACGACCAGATGAGTTGAAAGACAAAGTTAGTTGATTTTATCCAAAGAGGATGGCAGTGGAAGACCCAGTCCATTTATGACTGAACAGCATAATTCCCTTCTCTAAGAGAAGCTGTAAAATCCCAGATATTACATAATTATTATATAACAAAGATATATTTATTATATAAAAATCCTGAAGACAAAAATTAAGCAATTCATAGTAAAGGAAGTTAGGGGACAACATTTACACACACATATATATTTTTTATTTTGGTTCTAGTGTAAGTCATTTGTTTTCAATTTCAAGTAGTTTATTTAAAGGGTCAGCACTGACTTGATGTACACCTATTTCTCAATTAACAAAGTGGTTAGTTTCTGAAAACCAGGCATTCTGTGAAAATTGGCGTTAAGCAAAAATGGAGGATGACTTCATCAGATCACAAAATGAAGGATGGCTACTTCATTATATAACTATAAATCCTGTTATTAACAAGTTATATTATTAAATGACCGAGAATCATGGCCCAGACAACTTGATGGACAGCCTGAATGATTATAGCCAGTATTACTCTCACCTAGCAGCTCAGTGTCTGTTACTGCTGGACACAAAAAAGTCCTTCAACTTTTGAACTATTGCCATAAATGAAAATGTTAGATAATGAGATTGTTGATAAGTGGGGAGTAGGTGTATAGACAATAAACGTGTTAGATAAAGTAAAACCTACATTTTTCACTGTTTTACTGTTGCACCACCTACTCAATCCTTGCTAAAAAGTGAAAAAAACAAAAGATTCACAACCCAACAAAACCCATAAGAATCCCGAAGACAAAAGTTTTAAAGAAGAAGGAGACTACAGATAGGAATTTTGCTTCTCGAAAATTCAATTTGTCTTGGGTCCAGTCTGGAGTAGGGTGAGTCAATGGTTTAAGTCCTGTACCAAAGAAATACCTATTTTAAAAGTCTAGAGAAAAGGGCTGATGTTTACTTTTGAGGGAAATTCTTGATTTTTTAAAATTTAAATTTAAATCCCAAATGGACAAATTTAAGGAACTTGTTAATGGTGACTCTGAAATGTTTTTTAAAAATAAATTTTCTGATTGATATTTGAGTAAATTATTTTCTCAGTATATTCTGGTCATGGATTTTGCATTTTCTCACAAAGATATTCAGCAGGGTCAATTTTAGAGTTTAAAATCACTTTCTGAAAATGTGTTCTCTAGCGTAGTGGTTACGAATCGGGCTGCGAACCTTAAGGTCAGCGGTTCGAAACTACCAGCTGCTCCGCGGGAGAAAGATGAGGCTTTCTACTCCCGTAAAGATTTACACCCTCGGAAACCCTGTACAGGGTCGCTATGGGTCGGAACCGACTCCACGGCACTTAACAACAACAACAACAATATAAAGATGGACTCCTGGTGTGGCACTGTAGGATCAGCACTGGACTGCGAACCACAAGGTTGGTAGTTCAAACCCACCAGCCGCCCCTGTACAGGTTCAACTTGAATCAGAACTGACTCCATGGCATTTAACAACAATATAAAGAAAGAATATATTGTTGTTGTTAAGTGCCATCAAGTTGGTTCCAACCATAGTTTAATGCGCTGGATTGCAAAATCAGTTTGAACTGCAAGGTTGGTGGATCAAGCTCACCAACTGCTTCTTGGAAACACTATACAGGGTCACTATGGGTCAGAACCAGCTCAATGGCACTTAACAACAACAGCATATTGAAATAATTTGCTGCTAGTAGAAGGACATGGAGTCCTGGTGTGGTGCTGTAGGATAAGCACTAGACTGCTAATTTGCAAGGTTGGCATTTCAAACCCACCAGCTGCTTCCTATACAGGGTTGCTATGAATCAGAACTGACTCAACAGCATATAACAACAATGGAAGGACTCCTAGGAAAAGGCTTCAAGTGTGGGTGGGGCATCAGAATGGAGGAAGAAAACAATTCTATAACCATTGGTTGTTAGTTGCCATCAATGGGCACAGACTGGTAGTGAGTTATGTCTAACACAGCGAAATGCTGCTCAGTCTGCACCATCTCCACATCGTTAACATCTGTGAATCCATTATTGAGGCTACTATGTAGAACCTTCCAACCGAGGGCACTCATCTTCCAGCACTTTACCAATGATATTCTTTTGTGATTCATAAGGCTTTCATTGGCTACTTTTTGGAAGTAGATTTCTAGACTTTTCTTTCTAGTCTTAGCCTGGAAGGTATACCCTAACCTGTCCACCTACCAATATGTGAAATACCCCTGGCAGTGGGTCCAGCAGCATACCAACACGTAAACTACCACAGTGTGACAAACAGATAGGGGTGGATGGTCTTTGAAGCCAGGTATGAGCTAGTTAAGGATAACCATGTTTTTGATATTTGTGATTTTCATTGATATTGACTCATAGCCACCCCATGTGACAGAGTAGAACAGTCCTATAGGGTTTTCTGGGCTGTATTTTTATGGGACAGATCTCTAGGTCATTCTCCTGAAACACAACTGGGGGTGGGTTCAGATCATTAACCTTTTGGTTAGCACCACAGCATTTAACCATTTACTGCCAGGGCTACTCAGGATAACCATATCCGGTGTTATTATTCTTGATCTTCCCAACAGAACCATGGAAAAAGGCTGGATTTCTGGCCGGTCTGGGCAAGTAGGGTTTAGAGTGAAATAATTATGAAAATTAAAAGGTGACCAGACCATGGTGTTGCACCGTAAGGATAAGCACTGGACTGTAGACCGCAAGGTCGACAGTTCAAACCCACCAGCCACTCTTTGGAAACCCTGTGCAGGTTCAGTGTGAGTTCAGAATCAACTAACTCTATGGCACTTAACCACAACAGCACACCAATATATGTAGATATGCTTGATGTATATCAGGGAATGAGTCACTCATAGTAGAGAATTATTACAATTTTATAGACAAGGAAAATGAGATTCAGAAAGGCTAAGCTGACATTCAAATTAGAGAAGCTGACATGGGAGTCCAGGTCTCCCATCAAAGTTATTTCCAGGAAAATGCTATGTACAGAAGGGCCTTGTAAAGATCCCACTCACCCAGCATTTGTGGTTATCTCCCATCCCAGTCCTGGTGGTGCTGTGGATTATGCATTGGGCTGTTGTTGTTGTTGGGTGCCATCCAGTCGGTACTGACCCATAGCGACCTTATGCACGGCAGAACGAAACACTGCCCGATCCTGGACCAACCTCACTATTGTTGCCACGCTTGAATCCATCGATGCTGCCACTTGGCCAATCCACCTTTTGGGGTTCTTCCTTGGGCTGCTAACCACAAAATTCAAACCCAACAGCTGCTCCACTGAAGAAAGATGAGACTATCTGCTCCCATAAAGGTTTACAGTCTCAGAAACCCTATAGAGGGTCGCTATGAGTCAGAATGAACTGCAGGGCAATGGGTTTTTGAACCATAAAGATTCCTTTAGGGAATCTGTGATTTCCATGGAAATTGGTGTAAATGGCCTAAACCAACCCACATATCCGATCCGCCTGGTGGCAATTGGAACAGGTCTTTTACTGGCTATGAGGAAGCCCGGGACACTTGGAGCTGCTAGCAGCACTTGTGACCACAAAGGAGCCATCCTTAGAATAAAACTATCACTAGGAAAGAAAGAATGGGGACTCTGAAAGCCAGCTCGTCCTTGTTGGGAGCCTTGAGCCTCTGGACCCAGCCTTACCTAAAGCCTCAACTGGACTTTTGAACTGTGTGAGCCAATAAAGTCCTAGTATTAAACCAGCTAGAACTGGGCAGGCTTGCTTAACAGAAGAGATCCCTGTAGAATTGTTCATTCTTTCAAGGCAGGGCCATAGTCTGCCTTCGTATCAACTCCAGCACCTGTTACTTTACCTACCCTCAGGGTGCTGCTTAACAAACACTACAGTCAAGGAATGAAGCA